ATTATTATTAATAATTATTTTATCATTCGGTTACCTAATTTGTTTTTTAATGAGTATCTGGCGTTTTGCCATTTTCACGCAAGAGCGATAGCAAAAGGGAGAAAAGCGTGGTTTCATTTAGGCATGAGCAGAATATTATTTGCAGCCAAACAAAGTTGGACGACATTGCACACGAGGAGACCATTATTTGTATGCAGTTATTTGCAGGTCACGTGATGCGCTCTCGGCCAATGAAAAGGAAGAACAATTTGCATCGAATGATAATATCACTTGTTTACATCCTGAAATACCAAGTGACATAATCATACCAAGTGAGCAATTATTGATCTGCTCGCCACCGACAAATCACGATATTTTACTCAAATGATCACCCATAATTTTCCATTATCGTCTTTAAGAAGAAAAAGTTCTGCATTTTCTGTTGTCTGTAATAAACAAAGTCGACCGCGATTTCGTGCAATGGCAATTTTTTGCTCTTGTTTGCCCCCGGAGAAACCACTTGACAGTGACTTTTTTCTCCCCAGTCTATTCTTGGAGATCATTACAATAAAGACTTCAGACGCCGCATGGAGACGAGGCAGACACGAAGGGACCACGTTGGCAACGTGGATCCGAAGTTAACATGTGGAGGAGGGTTTGGAAGCACTTGCTCTCCCTTTCAAGCGCTTCACATACCGGTAAGAATCCCTGAACAAATATGTCAACGCTTTTTTAACCCGTAGGGTATTCAAGGGTATTCAATGTTTTTGTGATGGGATTCAATGTGCAAATGTGTCACTCGCTCACTTTGCGTTGACAAAGATCGGCTCTTCCGCTCCGTCCCGAACTCACTGCCCGATATGAAAACGACATAGTTCGTAGTTGAAGAAGGGCTCCTGAGCTGTACATTCACTCACTCATCCTCGTGAGAGAACTTTGGGAACGAGGTTGTCACGCTCATGTTCGCTACGAAAGGAGCAACACTTACATCAACACTCGCTGTCGATTTCTGACAGTTCTTTAGGTCGTGTGTATATGCACTACAAGTATCACGACCATAAGCAATGGGGCAGTTTGTTTGTTTGTTTGTTTGTTTGTTTTGTCATGTTACTGAAAAATTTTAAAGAACGTTGCCGGTAAATCGCGCGTGTAGCATAGTATAGCCCGTGGTATGTTGTTTATACTCCAAACTTTGCAGTCTCTGGCAGGGACTCTAGTAGCGAGGAGTCGAGATATGGATTGCAGTATTTAATAATCAATAACTATGATTAAAGACATATATTAAATTACTTAGTTGTATAATAGACCTTATTCACGATGCCCGCCATCTTTGCAGGCGCTTTAGGATCGGTGGGATAAAAGCAATTAACAATTCTTTGACGAGGTTGAGCAAACTATCGTGATTTGTCGGTGGCGAGCAGATCAATTATTTGCCGAAGCCGAGGCTTCGGCAGATAATAGGCCACTTCCGACTTCCAAAAATCCTCACTTTCAAAATGAGACCAAGTGGATAACCTTTCTGGTAAAAATGAGTTCTATTTGCGTGAGAATGAATACTCATTTCCATATCAAAGGCTGAGCACTTAACCTCGTTTTGATACAGAAGCCCGGGGAAACTCGGAAAAGGCCGATTGATCTGCGAGACACTGACAAATCACGATATTCTGCGAAAACCGAGTTCAATAATTATCAGGAAAAAGATCTTAGTAACTGTTTAATAGAATAAAATTTAGTGTATGATAATAATCAATAACTATGATTAAAGACATATTAAATTACTTAGTTGTATAATAGACCTTATTCACGATGCCCGCCATCTTTGCAGGCGCTTTAGGATCGGTGGGATAAAAGCAGTTAACAATTCTTTGACGAGGTTGAGCAAGGTTGGACGAGGTTGGACTTGATTAGACAAGACGTACTTCATAGGCATAATACACGTAACAAAGGCAATTTTAGATTACCACGTGTCAAAAGAAATTGAGGAAGCAAAGAACACAATATCATTCCGTTTCCGATTTTAACTCCCTCAGTCAGACGATCAAAGACTCAAGGAATGTAAATAGTTTTAAACGTAATGTTTTTAAGTTTTTAATATAGCTACTTAAGTTTAATTTTTACTTATACTTATTTTTAATTTTTTATGCATTTTTTGTATCTTTTTAATCCCTTTGCAATTTTATACCTTTTTTTTTTGTTTTTATAATATATATCTAGTTTTGAGGTCCTTTTTGAAAACCGTATCTTTTATGAAAAAGTTTCCTCGATAAAGATGATGATGATGATTATTATTAATAATTATTTTATCATTCGGTTACCTAATTTGTTTTTTAATGAGTATCTGGCGTTTTGCCATTTTCACGCAAGAGCGATAGCAAAAGGGAGAAAAGCGTGGTTTCATTTAGGCATGAGCAGAATATTATTTGCAGCCAAACAAAGTTGGACGACATTGCACACGAGGAGACCATTATTTGTATGCAGTTATTTGCAGGTCACGTGATGCGCTCTCGGCCAATGAAAAGGAAGAACAATTTGCATCGAATGATAATATCACTTGTTTACATCCTGAAATACCAAGTGACATAATCATACCAAGTGAGCAATTATTGATCTGCTCGCCACCGACAAATCACGATATTTTGCTCAAATGATCACCCATAATTTTCCATTATCGTCTTTAAGAAGAAAAAGTTCTGCATTTTCTGTTGTCTGTAATAAACAAAGTCGACCGCGATTTCGTGCAATGGCAATTTTTTGCTCTTGTTTGCCCCCGGAGAAACCACTTGACAGTGACTTTTTTCTCCCCAGTCTATTCTTGGAGATCATTACAATAAAGACTTCAGACGCCGCATGGAGACGAGGCAGACACGAAGGGACCACGTTGGCAACGTGGATCCGAAGTTAACATGTGGAGGAGGGTTTGGAAGCACTTGCTCTCCCTTTCAAGCGCTTCACATACCGGTAAGAATCCCTGAACAAATATGTCAACGCTTTTTTAACCCGTAGGGTATTCAAGGGTATTCAATGTTTTTGTGATGGGATTCAATGTGCAAATGTGTCACTCGCTCACTTTGCGTTGACAAAGATCGGCTCTTCCGCTCCGTCCCGAACTCACTGCCCGATATGAAAACGACATAGTTCGTAGTTGAAGAAGGGCTCCTGAGCTGTACATTCACTCACTCATCCTCGTGAGAGAACTTTGGGAACGAGGTTGTCACGCTCATGTTCGCTACGAAAGGAGCAACACTTACATCAACACTCGCTGTCGATTTCTGACAGTTCTTTAGGTCGTGTGTGTATGCGCTACAAGTATCACGACCATAAGCAATGGGGCAGTTTGTTTGTTTGTTTGTTTGTTTGTTTTGTCATGTTACTGAAAAATTTTAAAGAACGTTGCCGGTAAATCGCGCGTGTAGCATAGTATAGCCCGTGGTATGTTGTTTATACTCCAAACTTTGCAGTCTCTGGCAGGGACTCTAGTAGCGAGGAGTCGAGATATGGATTGCAGTATTTTACAGAAAGTCGCCTTCAAAGGCTTTTTACGTTTAAAAACCAGCTGATTATGTCGAGGGATGGAAAAATTCTAAGGGCGTGTTTACAAGGAGAGAGGGTTACCCTTGTGCTAGGGTTACTCTAGCAAGCGGGTTAAACTTAGCTCTGGTTTACAAGCAAATTTCACGGGTAGGGTTACCCTATCACCCGGGCCAACTTTACCAGCTTTGCTGACTTGTTTCGTCATGCGTGACATTCTTTGTAACGGTCCAAGATTTGACATAATCTTGAAGTTCTCTATGGAAAACACGTTAAATTCAGGGAAAAAAGGAAAATATTATCATCGTAGACAGAAAATAACATTTTATTTTTCAGATGTTTATAATTAAGCTCAGAAATCGGATAATTCCGCTCAATTTGTCAAGGATTCTGGTCACACGTGACGGAGAAACTTTAATCAGTGATCTTTACTATTCATTGTATGGTAGGATACAAAAGAATATGAACTCCCAAAGAACATGCCAGTGACTTCTCGCATGGGACACAAGACAAGCCGGTCATCAGCGGATCCCTTGTGGAGGACAGTCAGACAGGGTACACTTCCGCCACTAGCAGGAGTACTCAGGAAGGATAGCCATGTCACATTGGCGGCAGAGTCAGCGTCTGGAAACGCCTCGCAATTTTCATTCGCTGTTCAATAAAACACGTTGTTTGTGGTCTCTCATATGTGGCTCCTGTTGTCACAATCAGGCAGATTATAGTCTCATTGAACCATCAGCGTGACTTCTCAGGTTTTTGGGAACTGAAGGTCTCAACCCAATGGTTATGCTGCTATTCACGGCAGAAACAGGCCGTCTGGGGTGAAAAAATTTTCCAGATGGATATGTGCGCGAAGTGAAAATTACTCGGTCCATGGCTGCCTCCAAATATAAAATTGTTTGATATCTAGGAAGAAAACCCGCGTACTGAGTTGGAAATCAGCCATTATATTTATAGAAAAAAGTGATTTTTATATTTCAGTTTATTTTGTGGTAATAAGAGCTAAATATCGAATAAATTCACAATGCAAGAATCCTTGTAAATAAAGTAACAGTTATTGAAAAAATGGTGTAATATTTTTTTGTTGTTTATACCTTGTTGTAAATAAAGTTTTTAACATAAATGAAGAATTTATGCAGTTGGTTTGCAGTCGTAGCAAGCTACTATATCAGGTACAGGTGTACCCTGCCCTTAAGGTAGCGGTCACCGTGCTCGCCTTTCACGATACAACGCTGACGAATACGGCTATTTAGGGGTCTATGGTAATATCCGCGCACAACCCAAAACTAGACAAATGGACGTGGTTTTTTTCCATGATACAATTGATACTGCACAGAATTTTACTTTATAGGGAAGCTCTCTCGCGCGCGAAACCCACCCAGTGGAGCACCATGGGTATGTTGTAGTTAATTTTTTATCTCAGGTAATTTTTATTTTTCCTTTGTTTCAACTTCGTTAGCATACATTATCATACCCAAAAACAAAAGAAAAACAAAAATTACCTGAGATAAAAAAATAACTACAACAGGTACGTAAATTTAGTTTTTCATTCATCTGAGAAATTTTGGTGGTCACCAGACTGTACGCGCGACCGTCCGTACCACAGGATAACCAATGTGAAAAGACCTTCTTCTTTGAGTGGAGCCTGTAATCTGTGCGTGTTTACCTTGGTGACAGTCGTCCATGTTAAAGTCATCTTGGTTACCCGGACTTTTCTGTCTCCCCGACTTACCAACAGTCTAAATACTTAACTAACGTTCTGAAACCTCTGACTGACGAATCTAGACATAAACTACAGTCTACTGAGAACTTTATTGACGCCATTAAGACAATACAGGTACCTGACGACCACAAACTAGTGTCTTTTGACGTGAAATCTCTGTTCACCAGTATTCCCCTTCAACTGGCTCTAGACTGTACTGAGAACGCTATTAAGAACTCTACTGTTGAACTACCACTACCTACAGAAGACATTATGGACCTACTAAACCTCTGTTTGACTTCGACGTACTTTTTAGTACAACGGCAGACACTACAGTTACACGGTACAGCTATGGGCTCGCCAGGTTTTCTACAGAATACCATCAACGACTCACTTTAGAGAGCTGCTTTACTAACTTAAAACAAACACCACCGAATCGTAGTCAACAGTTACCGGCACCGTACAAACGACTTATCAGTGACGAAATCAAGCAAACCTAAGTACGAGAGAACGACTGGACAACAGACAATTTGACTAACAATAGACGGCTGTTTGGCTGTTACAACAGACGGATCGAAACGCACCGATTACATTACGAGTCTTCATAGCCAATAACATAACGGCTTAACTGTTTAAATCGTAATTTAGACGAATTGCACACAACGGTGCTCAGTTAACAGTTGTCTCTCTGACTTCACCACTGTCCTTGGTCCTCTGTTATTTCTAATTTATATTAACGATTTGTCTTACTGTCTTTAGTTCAGCAAACCTAGAATGTATGCTGATGACACCCACATTACTTATGCCGGTTCTGATTTGCATTTGATTCAGTCTAGTCTATACATGCCCAAACCACTTTAACTCGCGTTTCTTTACCGTGGTTAAGATATCATCATAGGACCCAATGGCTTGCCTGATTCTGTCTCTGACTGCATCGTTAGTGATGTGATCTCTGTATGAGATGCCATGCCAAACAGTTTCCGAAAGCATCTCATCTCAGTCGCCTGCAATTTCATCAGGATCTCTTTAACCGGTACAGCAATCCCATATAGATCCTCTTTTTATTTAAAAACTCACTTGAATCCAGATTCCAAAGTCCATAAGCCAGGATCCAGTCGTGATTTTTGATTATGCGATATGCCCGCGCGTTTACCGACCGTAATAACCAAAGCCGCCGCCGTCACAAAATTGACATCTCAACTTCACAGTGCCAAATTCTGTGGCCAAAGTGCAATGAATAAATAAATCAGTCGTCCATTATGGTTCCTCGAAGTGAAACTTGTTACGAGTCGAACGGTGATGTAGATAAAAAACCGGTTATTTTCAAAAACGCACCCTTAGGGAGCATTCATAATTTATCTAGAGGGTGGGCTATGCTGATTTCCTTATTTTTTCCTTTCATTTTTTTGACGCCCCCCTTATCATCTCAGGGTTTTTTTTCTGACCCCCCCTCAAGAGATGTTGATTTATCGAAGGAAAATATCATAGCCCCCCATCCCCCAGCACATAAGTACAATAATGTCAAACTCACCCTCAGTCATATCAAAGTCTTGTGACAGGTTTTTTAAAGAACGTTGCCGGTAAATCGCGCGTGTAGCATAGTATAGCCCGTGGTATGTTGTTTATACTCCAAACTTTGCAGTCTCTGGCAGGGACTCTAGTAGCGAGGAGTCGAGATATGGATTGCAGTATTTTACAGAAAGTCGCCTTCAAAGGCTTTTTACGTTTAAAAACCAGCTGATTATGTCTAGGGATGGAAAAATTCTAAGGGCGTGTTTACAAGGAGAGAGGGTTACCCTTGTGCTAGGGTTACTCTAGCAAGCGGGTTAAACTTAGCTCTGGTTTACAAGCAAATTTCACGGGTAGGGTTACCCTATCACCCGGGCCAACTTTACCAGCTTTGCTGACTTGTTTCGTCATGCGTGACATTCTTTGTAACGGTCCAAGATTTGACATAATCTTGAAGTTCTCTATGGAAAACACGTTAAATTCAGGGAAAAAAGGAAAATATTATCATCGTAGACAGAAAATAACATTTTATTTTTCAGATGTTTATAATTAAGCTCAGAAATCGGATAATTCCGCTCAATTTGTCAAGGATTCTGGTCACACGTGACGGAGAAACTTTAATCAGTGATCTTTACTATTCATTGTATGGTAGGATACAAAAGAATATGAACTCCCAAAGAACATGCCAGTGACTTCTCGCATGGGACACAAGACAAGCCGGTCATCAGCGGATCCCTTGTGGAGGACAGTCAGACAGGGTACACTTCCGCCACTAGCAGGAGTACTCAGGAAGGATAGCCATGTCACATTGGCGGCAGAGTCAGCGTCTGGAAACGCCTCGCAATTTTCATTCGCTGTTCAATAAAACACGTTGTTTGTGGTCTCTCATATGTGGCTCCTGTTGTCACAATCAGGCAGATTATAGTCTCATTGAACCATCAGCGTGACTTCTCAGGTTTTTGGGAACTGAAGGTCTCAACCCAATGGTTATGCTGCTATTCACGGCAGAAACAGGCCGTCTGGGGTGAAAAAATTTTCCAGATGGATATGTGCGCGAAGTGAAAATTACTCGGTCCATGGCTGCCTCCAAATATAAAATTGTTTGATATCTAGGAAGAAAACCCGCGTACTGAGTTGGAAATCAGCCATTATATTTATAGAAAAAAGTGATTTTTATATTTCAGTTTATTTTGTGGTAATAAGAGCTAAATATCGAATAAATTCACAATGCAAAAATCCTTGTAAATAAAGTAACAGTTATTGAAAAAATGGTGTAATTTTTTGTTGTTGTTACTTTGTACCTTGTTGTAAATAAAGTTTTTAACATAAATGAAGAATTTATGCAGTTGGTTTGCAGTCGTAGCAAGCTACTATATCAGGTACAGGTGTACCCTGCCCTTAAGGTAGCGGTCACCGTGCTCGCCTTTCACGATACAACGCTGACGAATACGGCTATTTAGGGGTCTATGGTAATATCCGCGCACAACCCAAAACTAGACAAATGGACGCGGTTTTTTTCCATGATACAATTGATACTGCACAGAATTTTACTTTATAGGGAAGCTCTCTCGCGCGCGAAACCCACCCAGTGGAGCACCATGGGTACGTAAATTTAGTTTTTCATTCATCTGAGAAATTTTGGTGGTCACGTGACTGTACGCGCGACCGTCCGTACCACAGGATAACCAATGTGAAAAGACCTTCTTCTTTGAGTGGAGACTGTAATCTGCGCGTGTTTACCTTGGTGACAGTCGTCCATGTTAAGGTCATCTTGGTTACCCGGACTTTTCTGTCTCCCCGACTTACCAACAGTCTAAATACTTAACTAACGTTCTGAAACCTCTGACTGACGAATCTAGACATAAACTGCAGTCTACTGAGAACTTTATTGACGCCATTAAAGACAATACAGGTACCTGACGACCACAAACTAGTGTCTTTTGACGTGAAATCTCTGTTCACCAGTATTCCCCTTCAACTGGCTCTAGACTGTACTGAGAACGCTATTAAGAACTCTACTGTTGAACTACCACTACCTACAGAAGACATTATGGACCTACTAAACCTCTGTTTGACTTCGACGTACTTTTTAGTACAACGGCAGACACTACAGTTACACGGTACAGCTATGGGCTCGCCAGGTTTTCTACAGAATACCATCAACGACTCACTTTAGAGAGCTGCTTTACTAACTTAAAACAAACACCACCGAATCGTAGTCAACAGTTACCGGCACCGTACAAACGACTTATCAGTGACGAAATCAAGCAAACCTAAGTACGAGAGAACGACTGGACAACAGACAATTTGACTAACAATAGACGGCTGTTTGACTGTTACAACAGACGGATC